ATTGATAATAAGTCATCAAGCCTTAGATTGAAAACAAAAATATTTATATATTAACTATATACCTTTTTATATAGAAGTGTTTGTAATAGCTTTTCGTTATGAACAATTAAGTCAAAAATATAAATGCAAGTTAATGATAATATTATCTAAAACCATGTATGAAACTCAAGAATCCTATGTTATTTTGACAAATAATTAGATTATTACAATGCAAATTTATATCTCATGATTCATTATTAAGTTCTTAAGATCATTTCTAAATTTGATTAAGATTAATTAATTTAAAATTTGTTCTCAATTATAATGAAAGTCGGTTAAATCAATTGAACCTTTTTGTACAATTTAGCTAGTATTTTAATATTTTAGACTCTTATAAATGATTAACCACTTACCATAAGATAGATAATTGTTATTCACAATGCACTAGGTAGTACTTTAAGAATAAATAAAATAACTCTTCACTTTTTTTTTTTTTTTCTTAAATGTATCGTTTTAAAAAAAATACTATATTATAACCCATATTACTATCATTATCATTATCATTATCATCTATATTGTCGCTTATACTACATCTATAATTTTTATTATTACTATCATCATTAATTATTACTGTTGTCATCAAGATTAATATATCGTCACTATTATTATTATTATTATTATTATTGACTCATCACCACCAGTCTCTTATCACTATTATCATCAACAGACTACTGTCATTTTTATTATTATTGTTATTACTATTACCAACATTGTTAGCTACCAATTATTACAACCTCAAACTAGTAGAAAAATTAATTTCAACATCTAAATTTAGTAAACTAATATATTTACTATCTAGGACAATAATAAGAGTATAAAACTTAACACTATAATACTATAACAAATCTATAACATTATAATATTATAATTATATATATCATTAACAAAACATGTCATATCATACAATTTAGGGATTCAAAAAAAAATTCTCTAAAAGCAAAATTTAATTTTAAATTTGTGGAAAGTGTACGATCACTTATTTTTCAATTTAAAAAAAAAAAGAGTAATTTAATTTTTAAAATTTTAAATTTGTTTATTATTTATACTTATACTCCTACACAAATAACACAATCTAAAAACGTCAATGAAACACAAATTCACTAAATTTTTTATAAAATTAATTTGTAATAAAAATAAAAACAAAATTCACTAGAATTTTTATAAAATTAACAATCAAAAAGTCGTAAGAATAATATAAAATAATATTAAAATTTTGATTGTAATTTGACATGATCGAACCTTGATGATATGTATAATCAATCTCGCCCGTCGAAAGTCCATTTCCAACTTGTCAACAGAAGTGACAATCGAGGCTTACAAAATCGAAAACTTGTGTTGGCAACTTGATAATGTGATTTGACGATTAATTTATTTTCATATAATAAAATAATTTTTATTATGAAATATTTAATTTAAATAACGTCTATTTGTTCTCAAGCTTACCGCTACTAAACAACTTTTAAAATTTATATATTTTTTAATTTAAATTATATAATGCTCTCATGGGCAACGGCATAAGGAAGGATAACAACTTATTTCCATTTATATTAAAGGCTAAATTTCAATTGTCAAATTTTCTTTATATTACTTTGTACTAACATATATTAATTTTATATTTATTATTAAATATACACATGTATTACAATTCAGTACTATCAACTATATAAATTATAAAAAAAATATTCGATATGATTTGAATTTATAATTTTTTTATATAAAAATTATCATATTAATTGTAAAAGTAAATTTTTTTTTAGTTTTGATTTAAAAAAATTGTTAAATTAAATTTATTATGTTATAGTAAAATTAATTATATTTTAATTCATGCAAATTTGTTGATGATAATAAGACTCTAGTATTATAATTATAATTATACTAATTATTATTATTATATAAAAAGCAAAAATAGAAAAGAAAAAAGAAAAAATAAAAAAAGAGTTTAGGAATACGCAGTCACATGGACCTACCATCAGTGCAATTATGTGTCCGCTATATATTAGACGCTTTCTTTACGGTTGCTGTGTTACTTCACGCACTTCGCTCAGAACTCACATTTCCAAACCCTAACAAACCGCCAAAACCTCTCTCTCTCTCTCTCTCTCTCTCTCTCTCTCTCTCTGCAGATCTCGCGCACCGGAGCATTTTCCAGAGGTGTGATTCCGGCTAAGCATCATTCCGTTTGACTTCTTCCGGAGTTTGCATGGTCACGGGATATGGCATCAGCTTGTGTAAACAACATTGGAATGTCGCCGGAGAATTTTTCGCCTGCGACGTATCCGTCGTATGGTTGGCTGAGTCCTAGAATATCCTTCAGTCGAGAAGAAGAGTCTTCCTCCTGCACCATTACGTCAGGAAACGGAATTAAACCGATGCCTCAGCCGTCTAAGCCGGATCATCCGGTGTCGGATCAGTTGGAGATTCAAGATCCTGGTGATTTTGAGTTCAGGTTGGATGATCCGGTTGCAATGCTCCCCGCCGACGAGCTATTTTCCGACGGTAAGCTCGTGCCGCTGCAGTTATCTACTATGAAGCAGCCGGTGACTGTGTTGACGGAGGTGAGATCACCTGATGCTGTAAAAGCTTGCAGGAGAACGGAGATGGAAATCTCGACGACGGATCCTTATTTGTTCTCTCCAAAAGCTCCTAGGTGCTCCAGCAGGTGGAGGGAGCTGCTGGGGCTCAAGAAGTTCTCTCAAAGCGTTTCGGTTAAAACGGAGCCCCAAAAAACGACGTCGTCTTCGTCGTCAGGTGTAAACCCCAAGTCTTTGAAGTATTTTCTGCATAGAAGCTCTAAATCGTCTACCTCATCGTCGGCTTCCTCTCTGGAAACTTCTCTGAGTCTGCCGCTGCTGAAGGACTCGGACTGTGAGTCACTCTCTATTTCTTCCTCGCGTCTATCGCTCTCTTCTTCGTCTTCAGGTCACGAACACGACGATCTTCCCAGACTGTCTCTTGATTCGGAGAAACCAGGCGTTAACGCGAACATGAGTCCGAATCCTTTCGCGCCAAGCCGAAGCCTAAACCCAAACCCTCCGAGGATGAGAATGGTGAAGCCAAGGGCAGGGGTTGGGTCGTCGGAGAACGGTCAGACGGCTACAGGAAGGATGGGGAGAAGTCCGATGAGGAGGTCGGCGGGGGAGGCAGGTGGGGTAGGGAGCAGGGGAGCGTCGGTGGACAGTCCAAGAATGAACTCGTCGGGGAAGATAGTGTTTCAGAGCTTGGAGCGAAGTTCAAGCAGCCCAAGTAGCTTCAATGGTGGACCGAGGTTGAAGCACAGAGGCATGGAAAGATCCTACTCCGCCAATGTGAGAGTGACGCCGGTTCTGAACGTTCCGGTATGTTCTCTAAGGGGATCTTCCAAGTCGGTTTCGGTGTTTGGGTTTGGTCAGTTGTTCTCTTCTCCTCAGAAGACCACTGTGGGAGGCCACAGAGGGCAACAGAGCAACAGTGGCAAGAACCGTTGAGGATGGAGAATCATTCATAGACATGGTAACACGTAACATCTTTTGACGTTTTGATTTGTGTTAGTTATGAAATTGGTTTTGACATTTTCTTGTTCTAAATTTTTAGAAGGAAGCAAATACCACGTGACACCTGTTGTTCATGCTTAAGCTGCTTTTATGTTATCTTTAATAGAAGTTTTTTAGATTGTAGATGTAAATATTCATGATTTCTTTTTCTGCTTCTTCTTCTTCTTCTTCCTTCTTGTTTGTTCTGACGGTGGTTCTGGTAGGCTAATTTTGAATTTTGAAATCTGATTAGCGTTAGGGTTGTTAGGTGAAAGATATGGAATCTCTGGTTTTTCGGTGTTGTAGGAGGGAGAGGAGAATGGCGTATTGTGAGGGGAGTGAGCTGCACGCGGGTTGAGGGGAGCGTGAGGGAGGTAAGTGTCAATGATATGTTCCCATGTTGAAGCTTATCTAATCTGTCTCTTTCAATGAAAATTTTATTAATAATTTATATGCTGCGAGATTTGTTGTTTACTGCGGAGTTTGGGAAATGATGCCATGATTCAAAAACACAGGCCACTGCCTTCCCCACCCCGCTCTCTGCTCATCATCAATATATTATATTTTTTCTTTTGCACGTCACTCATCTCCTCATTAATTAACTTTTAGCCTCTTCTTTCTCTTTGTTAATTTTCCTTTTTTTCCCCTAAATAAATAAATATTAAACTTTTATTTGAAACAGGGGCGTTTTTTTTTTGTTCCTGTATAATACAACATCATTCATGTGTGTACTTGTTGGGCCCTTAAATGAGGTTTGATATGCTAAAAATTTCAGTAGTTGGACCACATGTAGGTCACTATCCATGCATGTTTACTTCATCTTTTGTCTCTTAATTGTTGCATTATTTTTCTCTTATACCCCTACTTGTCTCCTTATTTTGCTTTCTGATTCTCATACTTTATTATGCATCATCGATATGCCTGCTTTGACCATAAATTCTTTTTCAAACCCACTTTTTTTCTTTTTATAAATACGACTATAGATCAAGACTCGGAACTTCACAACTCTCCGCCTAAAACTTCATGCTGTTTGAGATAAATGTGTTGAAGTATTGGTAGGGAATTTAGAAAAAATATGAAACAAAAGGAAATTAAAGAAGGAAAAAAAAGAATCCTGGAAAGTGTTGTTACATGACTTGACCTCGTGGTCAGATGTGTTACCAAATTCATAAAAATAAACTATCATCTTTCAGTGAAATAATAAATTTTTTAACCCAAAACAGAAATACGATCCAAGACCCAAGTCAGGCATTATTTGAGAAACAGAGTTGGGGGGGGGGGGAAGTGGGTGTAAAAATATTGGTGAGATGTAAGATTTTGTCGTTGAGGATAAGTAGGAACCAAGGAAGTATATAATAAAGAAAAAGAAAGGTGTTGCTCTCCATTTGATTTGACATTAGGTCAGTTGTAGCATTCAGCAGCTTATAGCCTAGAATCTTTTCTTTTTTTCTCTTCTAATATTTGTATATAGAAACAACAACTCAATTACCCAGATCGACTGCAGTGTTTTATTGGATTATTAGGGACCAGGCCAGTCCTCTCCACTCATATCATTTATGTCTTCTTAAATGAATAATAATGGTTTGTTTGACCAGGGTCTTCCCTAGATAACCAGTGGGTCCAATATTTTTTTTACCCGTATTACATTTCTTTATGGATCTTTTTTTTTATTTATTTTATTTTTTTACACTCCAGTGGCCATATTTTCTTCTAGGAGATATAGGTTTATACATGAAGATGATATGCTGTTCAGATTGTTCACATAGATATTCATACTTTTTCATTTTCTTTTGATGTTATTAGTATTGTAAGGAATATCAAAATGTATAAATTTTTTTAAAAAAATTGTAAAATATTATTTAAAAAGTTAAATATCAATATGAAAAAACTGACCTAAAAAGAAGTCAATACTTAGAGAAATATATACATATATATATATATGTATTAGAAGTGTCGAAAGCGAATCAAAAGAGGGTATTTAAGTTTGTGGTGATGCCAGGGTATTCATTGATTGAATAATAGAAAAAATAATAATAATAATTAATGTGGGGGGGAACCCTGCAAAGGCTGGGGAAGGGGTGGGCATCAATGAATGAAAGAACGTGCTCTTTGGCAGTTGCCCCTTCCGATCAGATTCCCTAATCCCCCAATCTCTCCTCTCTTCCCTCGCATGCTCATCTCCTATTATTTTCTCTTCTTTTTTCTTCCCCCTTTTCCCCTTTGAGGAAATTTCTAACGGTCTTCTGACTACTTTTCTTTTTGACATTTCAAGTTTTTAATTTTATTTCTTTTCAGAATTCTATAGATTCCATTTAAAAAGAAAAAAACAAAAAATAAATAAATTTAACGATGGACTCTTAGGTTTTCAGCGTTGCTAGCTTCTCTTAGATATATGTAAGTTAAAAATCGTACTGTAAATAATTAAATATTTATTTTAAGATGAACGAACATAAACACATGTCAATATCATGAGGGCTTAATTAACTGATATTATTTTTAAGGTAAAACGCACGTGTTACACATTCTAACCTAATCTAATATATTTCACTCTCGTTAAAAAAAAAGTAGTTTATACTGATGTCTAAACTTTTGCTTTGTGTATGGAGTATTATTGTATAAACGATACTGTGAAACACATATATTGTATAAAAATGAATATACGATACGACAAGCAGCGAAAGAAAAGAGCCAACAACTTACAAATGATATTAGAGTTAAGAATACCCACATACAGAAAATCCTACTACTATCTTGATACTGAACTTGATGCCACATTGAAAATATCTAATGGATTAGAATATTCGTTTCTTCATAATGTGGACAAAACCAGTTTGGTTAAGAAAGATAATTAAGTAATGCGTTAGATATTATTTTGGTAAAATTATTAATTAATAAATCATTTGCTCTAATTAAAGTTGGAATGAAGTCATTGGAATCCCTGTAATTAAATTTCTACTTATTGATGAACACAGAGTAACATTTGAGAGAAAATATTGCCAAGTTCTTGGAAATACCCTCTTGAAAATAGGTGTTTAGCAGATCAAACCAGACCAATTAGATTAAAAGTTTTTAATCTTTTAATTAAAAATAATAAAATCAATAAATTTACAAACTACAACAATTATCAATAACTGAAGATTTTTTTTACCATTTCATTCTAGTCCAGTTTTTTTTTTATTGATAAGAATATCTATTCTTATATTAATCAAAAGAGTGAGAAACTGGTTTTGAAGATAATTATTGTAATGTGTGGAAGAAAAGAGAACCATATATTTGAGAGAAACCTCCCTTCCCCTAAATAGTTTTTAACAACAACCAAAACTAAAATCTGTATTTGATATATTTAAAGTTGTCATTTTTTTTAAAAATAGTTTTTCGTTTTATTGAAAATTTATATTTAAATTTTCAAGACTCAAAATCTATAATTACACACATATATCTTCCACATCTTTCATCTTCTATATCTTCTCAAACCAGTAACCCTAGTTGTCGGTCCTCCTTCGATAACTAGCTTCTACGATCAGTCGTTGGCGCGCCACCCTTTAATCGAATCGGCTTTCCTTGATGGCACGCCAGCCTCTGCTATATATATATATATATTTTAATATATCTCTTATACATACATATACATTTTTCTCTTTTTTCTGTCTTTTCTGTTTCAAGATTTTGAGATTTACAAGTTATCTTACAATCTAAATGGCCATTTTAAATGATTATAAATTGTGATATGAGTTTTAAAAATATTATTAAATAACTGTTAATTAAAAAAAAATTTCGACAATAATTAATTATTGTTTGATAGGTGTGAAAATCACTATCATTTAAAAAAAAAATTAAAATTTGTGTTTGTTGAAAATAACTTTTAATATTAAAATTACTAAAAAGGTATAAAATAGATAGATTTTTATACAATTTATATAAATTTATGCAATACATAACAGAAGTATACGTAAATAGCATAATATAACAGATTTATATACAAATTTAATATGTAGCATGAACAATATATATATTTATATATTTTATATACAAATTGAAAAATATGTACATATAGGAGTGCCAAGCCTAATTTGCTGGGTCCGATCTGTCAATTTGTGGCCTGGCGTAATTTGCTGGATATTATATATATCTCTGATATATGTAAATTACAAAAAAAAAAAAGAGGATATATATATATAGACTATATTTTAATTTATCGTAATACTAAAACATGGTTAAAAAATAAATGGTTTGAATTAATTTAATATGATTTTCATGCAGGACTCAGAAAAGGACACGTCGAAAGAGAAAATGGGTGGGTTAAAATTTATGGAAGAAGATATTTTTTTCAGCTTAAATGGATATGATGATTGTGACACAAATTGTACAAACTGTTTGTACTAACAAATATATTCAATTAAAAAATAAAAATTAAACAACAGAACCTTCAAAACCTGAAAATTAAAAATATAATATAATATAATATATATATATATACACACATATATGTATGTATCCCGTTCTGAATCTTCTCTGGCAAGAGCCATAAGACAATGACAGAAAGGTTTCAGGCAATTTTGTCCTCATTCAAAATCTTTTTTTTTTTTTCCTTGGGTTATTGGTGAAAGAAATCTAAAATTACTGATTATTACTACCACTTAACTTTAATAATTTATATTGAATTTCTGTTTCAACCATAATTTAGCAAAAAAAAAAAAAAAACCAATTAACGATATAATTTTAATTTCAGTAAAATTGTAATTTTATATTTTTAATTCTAATGTAATTGTTATTAGATAATTAAGTTAATTCTAAT